CAGTTCTGTGGTCCTCATGAGAGCTTGTGAACTTCAGCAGCATCTGCATAATCCAGAGATAAGTCAGTTCTTTGGGTATCTCTTCCTTCTTTGTGGCTTATGTTCATCACCCCAAAGCCTAGGAGTGGTCAGTTGAGAAGACTACCCAAGACACAGTAGTGACTTGGCAAAAATTTGTTGAATAATGTCATGAATAGTGTTTCACATTTTGCATTTTGGATCAGACAATCAGGTACTTTAGTCTGTTCTAGAACTAAACATATCTTGTTCAAATCAGTTACAAGATAGAATATCTCCTAGAAAGTCTCAAAATCACTTGTATTCCTTTTTTTTAAAGATTTATTTATTTATGCAAGAACTGGGGTACAGACCAGAGGTGCGGGGTGGTGAGAGGATTCACCAGAGACAGAGTGGGGAACAGAACAGGCTGATCTACTGAAATACACTGCTGAGGGAAGCAGCAAGCCAGACAGGAGAGGTCTGCTGTACCATGTGTGTAGCTCCCTAGATGGCCAGCCAGGGATCAAAGTCGTGCTGCAGTGGCTAGTAATAGCTTGATAGTGTTGTCTTTAACCCCTGCGCCACCAGGGAGGCCCCACTTGTATTCCTTATTCCACCACTTCCAAGTCAAAAAATAATGAAAGTGTGTGTGTGTGTGTGTGTGTGTGTGAGAGAGAGAGAGAGAGAGAGAGTCGGCTGAGTAGAGACACGATCAGACATCTCTAATAGCACGTACTCCCTCAGCCCTGGATGCAGTGAGAAGAAAAAGGACCACAATTCATGCCAGCCTCTATTCGGGTATGCTAAATATACCATCTCTTTTGTCCACACATCAACCTCATTGTGTGGCTTCTAAAAGCAGTCGGGAATAAGCTGCTCATTGACAGCTGCTAAAGGGAAAAAGGAACTCCGATTAAATTCGAGCTAAATTTAAGCTATCTGACCCCAGTTCACAACCTCCCCTGACATACTCGGCCCCACGTGCCCCTAGATATCAGGTGCTTGTTGAGTGGAGACAGTGTGTGCCACCATTCTGCCTGCCACGGCACCTCCCATATGGCTGATGGCCCTGACCAGCTTCTTCAATTGTGAGAGCTGGGTCTCCTCATCCCCACCGTGGTGGGCGTCTCTGCAGGTGATATCAGGCCCAATGGGAGCTCACCTACAGAGAGAGGCTTTAATGGTTTCAGCACTTCCTTCCGGATTCAGATGCTTTACTCTTCCCTCAGGCTTGGGGCCTGGCGTCCTGGTGGCTGCCCCTGGGCTCGGGAACACAACCAAAAAATACTGGAGTGGGGACTTCTTCCTCAAAGGGAAAAGTTGAAACGGTGGAAGACAGAAAACTTAAAGGAATCGACACACAAATACCTCTTCCTGCCTCCCCACTCTCCCGTTCTGGGGTATAGTGGATCCACTTAGCTTTTCTGGAAACAGTTATACCAGCTGTGCCTCCTTGGGAAGCTGGGGACCAGCTCAATAACATACCACCTCTCATTTACTTTCCTTCCCTCTTTGCCTCACTTTCCTTTTTCACTCACACTTCCTGCCCTGGGGTTGCACAAACACATGCATACACAACCACATGCATACACCACCTGCAAAAAAGTGTCAGCCTCTAACTTTTGACTTAGGCTGTCTTCGAGGGATATCTGGCTAAACCATAAGCTTTTGCTCTGTTATTTGTAAAATGACTATGCTGTCATTGATCCCTCAAAAGTCCAAGGAAAAAGAAAAATAAACTCTTTTTTAGGTGATGTTGCCACTTATTTTTGATAGCTAAACAAATATTTTTAAAGAAAAAAAGCCAGTCATAGTTTGCGAGTATGGAGGTATTACATTAGGATGATACTAATTCCACTTTTGTGGCCACCTTGCACCTGCTCTAACCACTACCTGCTTTTCTTGCTTGGCTTGTAAGCAAAGTTCTCTGCTAACACTTTTTTAGCAAAAGATCATATTTGTCTTACTGTGATAATTATATGTAGACTGGTTGAATGGAAAGTGTCAGGCATCCTACGTTCAAGTCCTAGTTCCCCTGTTAATTAGCTGTTTGGCTTGAGAAAGTCATAATCTCTCTGAGAAACTATTTCCTCACCTGTATAGTAGAAAGAAGGCTATCTGCCTCACCTTCCCATGGGCCGATGTGACATAGTGACAGCACCTGGAAGCACCACACAGAAGTGCTTTAACTGTGTCGGCAGAGGTCAGGAAACAGCTTGTTCAGTTAGGCTTTTAAACTTCCCTCACCAAAAATAATGAAACACATCCCTGAAAAAATATAAAAGAATAAGTCATTTAATTCTTCTTAAATATTTTTAAGATAATAAAAGAGGTGATTTTATATCCCACGTGAAACAAACAAACAAAAAAAAAAAGGAAAAAAAAATGTTTTAAAAAATAATTTTCAAGACACCAGACATCAAGCAATAAAGTGATTCCCTGAGAGAGAGGAATAAAATATGGGCCCTACATGGCCTAGCCATCTGCTGAGAGTTTCCAGGCTCCAATGCAGTGCAAAGGAAGCCTTGTGGAGACTGGTGGACTCCAGGACTTGTGAAAAGAGAACTGATAGCCCAGGAGAATAAAATGGCTGGAGTTCAGAGGACGGTGTATCACAGATGTGAGAGAGCCTGGAGAGAAAACTCTGGAGATCTGCAGAGGGTTCCCTCCAGGATTCAACAGGGTATGAATCAGTACATGCACATGAGAAAACAACCTGAAACAGACCCACAGAATTATCAGGAGCGATAGTTGGTGCTCACACCAGACTTGGACTAGTGCCTGTTTCTACCAGCCAGACTGAAAAATCTCTTAATTCACAAGACACTGGGCAGAGTGTTTAGAAGTGTCTTGCCTCAACAGTGGGAAATAATTGGTGCTAAACTAAACACTACTCTGGGTCAGACTAACAAATCTTAAAAACAAGTCCTGAAAGGACTGAATTATTTCTAAGCTGCTTTCCAGGTCACAGCTCAAGAATATTTATAGGGATATGAAAATATCTAGCATCCACCCTCAAGAATATTTATAGGGATATGAAAATATCTAGCGTCCACCATGGTCAAATTGGCAATGCTTGGCATAATAAAAAAATTATCAAGCATGCAGAGAAACAAGAAAATATGTCTCTTAATGATGAGGAAAAAATAAATCAAAACCTTACTCAGAATGATACAGATGTTAGAATTAGCAGAGAAGGAAATTAAAAGTTGCTATAATTGTATTTGAGGTGTTCAGCACCTTAGAGAGACAGATTTTATTTGAAAAGACACAAATCAAACACCTGGAGAAGAAAACTACAATGTTTGGGTGAAAGATACTCAGGATTAATAGCATATCCATACAAGTGAGTGCTGTTCAGCAGTGAAAAGGAATGAATATGGATATAGCATTGATGAATTTCAAAATAATTATGCTGACAATGGACTATGGTGGAACTGGGTGCCTTGGTGGTGGATGTGGTGTGGTAACATATGCCTGAAGGGTGTGATCCTACACTCCTAAATCATGTATAGTGCTATAAACCAATATTACTGCAATTAAAAATAATTTTAAAATTAAATAATTGTGCTGAGTGAAAGAATTAAGACAGAAAAGATTGTTTGTATGATTCCCTTTTTTCCCCCAAGATATCATGGTGTATATTTCCTTTTATTTATTTATTTTCTTGAAGATTTATTTATTTATTTATACAAGCACTGGGCACAGTCAGAAGCGCGGGAGGGTGAGAGAATTTACCAGAGCCAGAGCAGGGAGCAGAACAGACAGGCTGATGAAGTACACTGCTGAGGGGAGCAGTGGGCGGCAGGAGAGGTCTGCGCACCATGTGGGACCCTCGCCCGGGGGGCTGGGGATTGAACCGGTGCTGCAGAGGCTGCGGGCAGCTTTGCAACCCAGCTTTCAACCACTGTGCCACCAGGGAGGCCCCTGATACCTTTTATATGAAATTTTATAAAATGCAAAATAATCTAGGGCCTCCCCGGTGGTGCAAGGAGTTAAGATGCAACCTATGAAGCTATTCACGGCCACTGCAGCACGCGTTCAATCCCTGGCCAGGGAGCTACATGGTGCACAGACCTCTCCTTCCACACCCTCTGCTCACACCCTCAGCAGTGTGTTTCATCAGTCTGCCTGTTCTGTTCCCCACTCTGGCTTTGGTGAATTCTCTCACCCTCCCGTGCTTCTGACTGTACCTGGTGCTTGTACAAATAAATAAATAAATCTTAAAAAAAAAAGTACGGAAATCCTCAAAAAATTGAAACTAGAACTTCTAAATGATTCAGCTATTCAACTTTTGAGTATTTATCTAAATACAAAAACACTAATACAGAAACACTAAGCCCTGTGTTCCTGTTAGCATCATTTACAGTAACCAAGGTACAAAAACAACCTACATGTCCATACCAGATAAATGGATAAAAAAGATGTGTGTGTGTGTGTATATATATATGTGTGTGTACACACATGCAGACATACTGACTACATACACTCAATGGAATACTACTCAGCCATTAAAATAATGAAATCTTAAATCTGCAATTTTGTTATATCTAAATCTATGGTGTCGATAAATTACATCTAAATATAGTATCTAGTATGGTGTATAGCACAATGAACTAAAATTTGATTTAAGAACTCCACCTTTTTTTTCTTAACAATAAATTAGAAAATCTCTCCCGTTATTAAGAACTACAGTTTCATCATTTTCTTTTGTTTTTTAAAGAAACCCAAGAGCCAGAAAGACACAAGATGAAATTTAGTTATCACTTTTTCCTAAGTTTGCTTTATATAAGTTAAGAAAATTCTACCCATTTTTCTCAGCTATAAGTGATTATACATTTACTTTCTTACACTCTACTGTTTGATATGAAATCTGAGCTTTAAAACTCCCTAAGTGTTTGAATAGAGACACAGTTGTGTGATGCATGTTCACTCTATTTTGGAATGAACTAATTTATGTAATTTCATGTTCCCAACTTGTCTGTCCTAATTTCCCCCAGTTTGATGCTGACCGAGATGAAGATGAGGTATTCTCTGACATCAGCATGGCAGTTGACAGCAAGTTATTTCCAAACAAAGAGGCTGCAGCAGGTAAGTCATGGTGTCTTTTGGGCATGGTACACCCTGACCCCCGTCAAGTGTCTGGGGCTTTGTAAATAGTTGGAACTCAACAATCTGCTGTGTCCTACGGGACTCCCTAACTAATACGAATCAGCCATAATGAGATATCACTTCACCCCAATGATGAACTATATTGAGAAAACTGGAAACAACAAATGTTGATGAAGATGTGGAGAAAAAGGAACTCACATGAACTATTGGTGAAATGTAATTTGGTACAGCCTCAATGGAAAATGTTATGGTGGCTCCTCAAAAAAATGGAAATAACAGATGATCCAGCAATGCCACTGCTAGTTATTTAGCCAAAGATCTATGAAAACATTAATAGAAAAGATTTGTGTACTTTTTTTTTAAAAGATTTATTTATCAACACATACAACAATTGGGGTATAGGCCAGAGGTGTGGGGGGTGAGAGGATTCACCAGAGACAGAGTGGGGAACAGAACAGGCGGATTGACTGATATACACTGCTGAGGGGAACAGGAGGCGAGACAGAAGAGGTCTGCTGGGCCATGTGGGTAACTCCCTGGCCGGGGATCAAACTCATGCTGCAGTGGCTGCGGATAGCTTCATAGGTTGTGTCTTAACCCCTTGTGCCACCAGGGAGGCCCAAGATTTATGTACTTCTATATTCATAGCTGCATTATCCTCAATAGCCATGTCATGGAAACAACCTAAATGCCCAACAACAGATGGCCAGATAAAAGAATTATAGAAAACATACTCAACGGAATACTACTCAGCTATTTAAAAAGGTGAAATAGTCCCTTTGGGGACAAAATAGTTGGATCTGGAGGTGATTATTCTAAGTGAAATAAATCAGCAAGTAGAAGACAGCTACTGGGTGGTTTTGCTCATTTGCAGAATATAAATAACAACCAAAAAAAAAAAAAAAAAAAACTGGCAAGCACAGCAAAAGCAATTCTTACACTTTGTGAGACCAGAAGGACAGAGGGGAGTGAGGAATTGAGGAGGGAAGGTGATGGGGTAATGGTGACAGAGCCCTAGGAAGGATAAGTGGAAGCATGTGCACACATATGGAAGTGTCGTTTTACTCCCAAAATTATAGAATTATATAAACAATTGGATAATCAATTGGAAAATCAATGCAATTTTGGGGTGGGGGGAGGCAAGGCAGTAGTCTTTCTGAGCAGACCCAGAACACAGATAATTGATGTTATCTCACCTGCCTCACTTTGCAGTGATAGTTACAAAAGATGGTCTATCACAGAAAGATGAAATATTTGAGAATCATGTAAGATCATGTAACCAAAAATGCTGCTTGAAAAATGTCATGACACCTGTGCTTTGGAACTTATTTTATTTAGAATTTTTATTTAGACCTCTCATAACAGACCTCTAACTGTTCAATATCCTCAGTTTGCCTATACAGCAGAATGGAGGGGCTGAATAAGCTACCCCTTCCCTAGAACCCCCCACACTCTGGCTGTCATATTTGTCCAGGGCAACTGTCCCAAAGTAATGCATCTGTGCTGGTCAGTACATGACATAGATACTAGCTGCTCCTTCTCTCCAAGTCCCCTTGGTAGGGCCTGGCCCATAGCAGAAATTTCCAGGAGCTGACTCTTCTCAGTCACCTAGTTTACAGCGAAAGGAGCCTGTGCTCACAAGCTCACCTCCTGCTGGCTCCCTCCCAAGACCCCTGAAAACTGGGGTCAGCTCCAGCCTTAAAGTCAGTTTACTCTAGGGCCTCCCCTAGTGGCTCAGCAGTTGAGCACTGGGCTGCAAAGCTGCCCACAGCCTCTGCAGCGCCGGTTCGATCCCCTGGTGGCCGGTGAGGGTCCCACATGGCGTGAAGACCTCTCCTGCCACCCACTGCTCCTCTCAGCAGTGTACTTCATCAGTCTGCCTGTTCTGTTCCCCGCTCTGGCTCTGGTGAATTCTCTCACCTTCCCGCACTTCTGACTATACCCAGTGCTTGTATAAATAAATATATAAATAAATCTTAAAAAAAATAAAAAGTCAGTTTATTCTAAAAGCAAATGAAGGATCTAAATAAAATAAAAATAAATAAGGTTCTGTTCTGTGAAACATCAGCCCCAGATTTTCCCTCCACTCTTCCCTTCACCCACAGCCCTTTTCTTTGCAGCTGCACTACAGTTACCACATTACCTCCATGTAAATGACTTTCAACCCCTTTTGAAATTTTTTGGGTTTTTTTTTCCCAAGGTACTTTTAATTTTTATTCTTTTAAAATCAGGCTTCTATGACAATAATCAAAAACAAGCTTTAACTGCACAGATTTTTTTTCCCACTATTATAACCTTCAAGGGCACAAAAGTCAGTAGCATAAAGTAACATAAAGGTAGTGACTATGAGCATTTTTGATGTGACACAGTGTACATCACAGCATTAAACTTCTATCCTTGTATTTTCTTAAGATTTTCCTCAAACACTGAAGAATCACTGTTCCTCAGGAAAATACCTTTTTGAAATTTTTTAATAAAAATATGTATTTGTGATGCACACCATGATAAATTGATAGGAATATAAATGGGGAATTGATTGCTACAGCCAAGTTCATACCATATCTTCTTTTTACATCATTATCATTTTCTCATTTTCTCATGAATGAGCACCTGAAAAAAATTCTCTTAGAAAATACCCAGTATTCAGTACAGTCGTGTTACTGCTTACGGTCATCTGCTGTACGCTAGACCTCGAGACTCACTCATCCTCCATAACTCTGTACCCTTTGATCAACATGCACCCCACCTTCTGGGGGCATCTCCAGGGGAACTGGTGCCTCCCCCACCCCACTGTTAGCACCATTCCATCCTCCGCCTCTATGTATTTGACTTTCTCAGATTCCACATATCAGGAAGATCATGCACTTTTGTTCTTTTAAGAGACAAATGAAAATGTTCCTGCTCTTCTGGCCCACACTCCTCAGGGACACCTTGGGAGTCCAGTCCTTGTTCTCTGTCCTCACTGCACTCGTGGAGGCTTTGTCATTCCTCACCGGCCTTTTACGTCAGCCCTGGCCTCTCCTGTCTGCTGTGAATCCTCTCGCTGCCATGGAGATCCTCACAGAGTGCGGCTCTGATCACCCTGCCTCCCTGACAAAAAAAAAAAGAGAGACAAAACCTTCAATGACTTTCCTGCCTTAAACACCAGTGTCCTTAATGTGGCAGACAACCCTGTTTCTGTGTCCTTAGCATCACTATCCTGTTCCCACCACTCCACTGCCCCCGCCCCAATACCAGCTTTCCCCAGCTCCTTGAACCTCAAATAGCATCCTGGTCTGGCCCTCTGCACTAGTTACTTGGAACCCCATGGCCACATCTGCACCCCTCTACTCTCCCAACACCAAACCCCATCACTCCCCTGGCCATGTCCTACTTTAAATGTGATTTTGTCAAGGCATCTTTGTCAACAAGATCAGGTCGTTGAATGGTACCCTGTGTTTCTCTTTCAGGGCACTTATCACAATAGTGATTGTATAATTAAATGTATATAAATATATTATGTTCAAAATCTAATGCCCTTATTGGTTACAAGACTTCATAAAAGGAGAGTTTGCAATTGAGAGATTGTTGATATCAAGTGTGAATGTCATAGCAGATGGCGCATCGGCCTTTCTCTTCCAGCTGGCTGCTCCCAGGGCCACTCGGCTGGGTGAGTTGCCTCTTAGCCACACCAAATTTTCTTTGGCTATGTGAGCAGAGCGTGAATTTCTTGCCTCCATGCCATGCAATGCCACTACCCTGTGTCCCTTCTGCAGTGATTCCTCCCCCCTGGAGTCCTCCATTAATACTTGTCGCAGAGTCATCTGGCTACATCACTCAGTTTCTCTGGCACTCGCTTTTCTCATCTATAAAGTGAGGAGAATCATAGAAACTATCTCATAGGATTGCTGTAAAGAGAAAATTATATAGAGAGATAGATAGATAGATACATATATAAAATATGTGGCTGTCACATTGAAAAGACTATATCGTGTTTGCTGAGGCCTTGAGGGATCACAGGGAAAGCCCACATCTTATGCAACACAACTTCTCCCATTTTCTCAGAGGTCTTACTGTCCTCTCTTCTCCCTTTATCTCTCTCTCCCTTCCTCCCCCTAACCCTTTGTCCACAGGTGGAAGATCCCCCACTTTCCTTCTCACTTAAAACAGTCCACCAACACCCACATTCTATGAAGAGCTTACCTTCTAGTTCCAAATAGCATCAGGATATTTTTTCCAGAGAAATACATTGCTTTTCTTCAAAGGACTCTATTCAGGCTGTTACTAACACTGTCCACACGTGCTAGAAGTAGAGTTGAGTTCTCCAGAGTTGATGCCCAAGACACTTAGGAGGATTTAATGTTTGTAGAGTGAATGAATAAGATGAAAATCTACAAAAGTGGAATGTAGATGTCCTTTTTTTCACTTTTTAGTTGTTCAGCATTTATATATCAAATGCATATCATATCTAATTTTTATTCTTACATTCAGAAATGAAATATAAGCCCACCTAAAACTGCTTACAGTTTAATGGAAGAGCCAGGACAAGGGAGACTTTCCTCAGAGGGGCAGATGAAGGGCCAGGAGACAGAGTGAAGAACCACTAGAAGGGGAAAAATCTTTAACCATGTACTGGATGCACTATCGTAGCCTTGCGATACCTCTAAAGCCAATGTATATCATATTCCCAATTCAGTTTAAGGAAACAACCTGGAAGTATCACTTCCAAAAACCATTCTGCATCTAAATCTGGTGAGTCCGAGTACTCCCTGTAGGGTGCTATTTCAGCTTATACCTTTCTGTTATCTACAGAAGTTATTTTTAAATCTGAAAAAAAAAAATCAAGAAATTCAAAACAGAGGGAAGGAATGTCATACTATCACTTTTTCAAAGTGCCCTAATTTTGCTTTCTTTTTGGAGTGAGATCACCACAGTTGTTTTATGTTAAATTGTCCAATGAAAGAAAGAGAGCCAAAATATGTACATACATCTATATTTACCTCCCTATTATGTATATCAAACTTTAGACTATTATTAAAGGTCCCATTTTCAGCTAACCAAGCAGCCAATGCTAAAATAAAATGAAAGCTGTTCAATCATTATCTGAGCTGATAATGACATCCTTTGTCTATTGCCTTCAATGATATATTAGTACTGTTGCCAAGAGCAAAGATATGTCAAGAAATTCCATCCTTTAATGATACAATAAAATTTCTGTCAAAAGCATTTCATTAGGAAAGCCAATTTCTTCTTAGAAGCAGGAGTTTTTTTCTTTATTTTTTTTAACAGGGTTCTCTTCATTTTACTATTGTTGAAGATGGTTTTCTAATAATCTTGTGGTTTCAGATGTTAATATGTAATGTCTACTAACTGGGTTGTTTAAGAGCCCTTCACATTATACATTTTCAAAACAACTGAAAGAACAGTTGCTAATGAAATAAAAAAAGTAGGACGCAGGAACGAAAACAGCGATAAGTTGAATAAGCTTTTGTGTTCAGATCACGTTGTTCATTCCACATGAATCATTCTAACTGCAGTGGCAGTGAAGCTATCATTTGAATCCATGTACCTATCACCGCTTCCACTAGTTGGTGGTGACTAATACCTATATTGTGGAAGTAATGAAAGCTAAATAAAATAGGCATCGCTTTTAATGCTACCAATAGCAGCCAGCAGATTGTCACAAAACACAGACACTCCTGGATTCCACTTCTGACTCTTCCATTTCCAAAGCCACAGGGTATCCCACCTCCTCATCCACTGTTCACTGTTCCATATTTTCTCAGGATGAAAAAGTGGCACACTCATCCATGTCCTCACCTATAAAGAGCTGTAATGAAAGATCATTATTATAAAGCCATTTGGAATGTTCTTAGAACTTGAAGTCGACAGGGTGTGTTTAGAAATGGGAGCTCTGACTTTATCTTTAATTTCAGTCACTTTCTGCATGACCTTGGTCAAGTTATTTCACTTCACCACAAATCATTTTCCTCTTTTCTAAAATGAGGGGATAGGATTCTGTGAAATACTGCTCTAAAATACCCTTGAACTTATAATGGAAAATATACATTTTATTTTTGACACCCTTCCTTCCTCACAACACATGAGCACAAACCAACTGATCTTGAAACTGGCTGTCAAGACAGCCAAGTATTCAGGCCTTAAGATATACCTTATAAATTTTGTATTTGAAAAAATACCAAAGAACACAAAGATTAAAAATGTATATATAGGGCCTCCCCGGTGGCGCAGCAGTTGAGCACTGGGTTGCAAAGCTGCCTGCGGCCTCTGCGGTGCCGTTCGATCCCCGGCTGCTCCCCGGCCACTGGAGGAGGGTCCCGCATGGCGCGCAGACCTCTCCTGCCGCCCGCTGCTCCCCTCAGCAGTGTACTTCGGTCCTTCTGCCTGCTCTGCTCCCCGCTCTGGCTCTGGTGAATTCTCTCACCCTCCCGCGCTTCTGACTGTACCCAGTGCATGTATAGACAAAACAAACAAACAAACAAACAAATAAATAAATAAAACATGCCTCTATAAAAAAAACATTTTTTAAAAAATGTATATATAACCCCACTACTTTAAAAAAAAGCTATACGTAAAATTTGCATTTCGTTATGATCCCTCTAGTCTCAATCTGTTAATAGCATGTGGTGCCTAGTCTTGCCAGCTCCATTTTAGTGGAAGGTGGTCACCTTCTTATTTTTTTTTTAACTTTTTCTCTGTGGTTTTTTTTTGGGTAATTTTTTTAAACAATATTTACTTCCCCCCACTCCCTCAGGTTGAGTCCCCATAGAATTTCCTTCCCCAAGGTACCCGTGCACCATCACCACAGTCCCCTGTGCTCCTCCCTCCCTCCCTCTGATCCCTCTCCCTCCTCCTCCCCTGCAGGATGTCTCTGATTTATAATTGTCTATTTTTGCTTTGTTGTGAATGGTATTATTTTTTTTTATATTGATGTCTTATTTGGTTCCCCTATATTCCTGCTATAAGTGAAACCATCCCATAGTTTTCTTTTTCCTTCCGGCTTATTTCACTGAGCATAATTCCTTCTAGCTCCATCCATGTTGCTGTGAATGGCATGAGTTTTCTTTTTTGATTTCTGAATAATATTCCATTGTGTATATGTACCACATCTTCTTGATCCAGTCATCTATTTTTGGGCATTTGGATTGTTTCCAGGTTTTACCTATTGTAAATAGTGCTGCGATAAACATAGATGTACAGGTGTTCTTTTGAATCAATGTTTTTGGGTCATCTTCTTTACAATGGAACTGGCAAGGGCTGTTCTTGGAGAGTTAACTGGCTTTACTTCCTCTTGTGCTGTACACAGTTATGCAACTGTACATGGCAACTATATAGTCACTTTTCCAAGATTGTTTGATGTGTCAAGCATCTCCATTTTGAAAGATTTTATCATCTTTTAAAAGAGCTGTAAAGATACAAATACAATAAACAAGTGTGTTACTGCTTAGTATTTAGTCAATTTAGTAAACATCCAGGATGCTGATGAGAAAGGAAGAGGTAAGGAAAGACTATGTGAGGATACATGTCGACTCTTTTTTGGAAGAAAATATGAAAGGAGCATCACTGAAAGAGGTTCATATCTGAGAAGCATATATGATGTTTTACGTTTTCTTTTTAATCAATCTTCATTAAACATTAGGCATTGCATATTCTAACCAAGAGTATCAGTCAAGGCCAAGTTTACAATGAAACATGGAGTGGTTTGTTTCTTCACGGGGTACAGAATAGCATTTTATGGGCATCATGATTTCTGTGTTTCTGGCTAGTTAGGGGACATGTACCCAGTCATTAAGTGAGGGTGGTAACTCAGTTGTGCCTCAGGAGCTCCATTATGAAAATTACTGGTTTAAGTTTGAGCACTAGAAATTAATGGGTAAGCTATTCAATGTAGCTTGTAGTACCTGTGGCCAGGGAGGAAACTTTCTACGAGGACATTAAGTTACCTTAATTTTCCTCACCTGGCCCAGTTTGGAGGAAACAATACCCAGGTTTTCACAAAGTGAACACACTTGATCCTTTTATTGTGGAACCCCATGTTCTTCCCCCACTGTGTATATTACTCACAATGGTCTTTCTACCTTGGTTATTATTGCACACCCTTAAACTGCTTCTCTCCCTGGACACCTTTATTCATCCTCAGTGTTGGGCTCATAGATTCATTCCTAATGAAGAATCCCACTTCTGTCATCCCCTCCACTATTAGTCAGAGTTAGGAGCTCTTTGCACTTTGGCTTCTGAACATTGCTGTTGACAAATCAACCTCTTACATAAAATTGTATTCTTAAGGGTAGAGACAGTGACCAGAGTATCAGCATTTTCTGTCTGTGACCCAGACAGAAACCTGTGACAACAGGTAGGAAGATTTAGAAATGTTTGTAATCATGAAAACAATATGGAAACCTGGAGGGAGATTATTCGCTTCAGAAGCAACATATATGACCTCCATCAGGTAATCTTTTCTTTCTTAATCTTAGGTTCGAGTGACCTTGATCCTTTGATGATGTTGGACACTGGAGACATTATTGACACAGGGTCTGATTATGAAGATCAGGTAATTAAAATCTAAAAACATCTCTTGCTTCAAATGTTTTTGATTTTAGCCACTGTAAATGTTTTATGAAAATTAGAATTATAATTCAGTACGTGAAATGTTTACAGATATCATGTTCTATAATAAGTCATAGTAGACTACAGCTTTCAATCACTAGCTCTGGTCCTTTAGCCTCTGTTGTCCACAATCACAAAATGGCAAGTAAATAAGGTAAGGTTTGTGGCCAAAGGGTACATGAGACAGAAATGAGGTTACAAGCAGTTCTCTAACCCGAGAATTTACACCTGTATCTCTTCTCATAATAAGCTAGCAGTGTTTATTGAGCAGCAGCTACAGGTTCAAGGCTCAACTTCTCTATTTCTAACCTTTAAAAGAGACTAATGATTGAGGATAATATAGCCAAGAAGTTAAATATATTTTCTGTTTGAATAAAGGCAAATAAATTTATCTGGGTCATTTTCGCCTCAGCAGAAGAACTTCTCCTTCTGCTGTATTTTAATGATCCAAAATAGTTGGCAAATGATCTAACTCTCTAATTAGGCTTTATTTTTAAAAAAGGATAATGTCTGAAATTTCCTTCCACCTCTCATCACTGCTTCTCTGCAATGGCTGAAAGCCCAGAGAACATGTTCTTCTGGGTTTTTCCCCCCCATTTTCAACTAATATATGTGACAAACAAAGCAGATAAATTTGACCAATATCCAAATGGAACGGCCGGCTGTGCATTTCACATTCAGAAGATATTCTCAAGCGCATTAAGTTTCTTCCCTTGTTAACACAAAGCAAGAAGATATTGAGAAGTGATATTTAACTACCACACATTTATAGTATCTTTTACCATGTATTAAGCATTGTGCTAAGTTCTCTAAGACTCCAATATAGGCAAATGACAAACACCCACTATGGGAAGTAAGCTCCACAGTTGCAGATTGTACAGAGAAATGAACCATAACAAGAAATCTAGCTGACTAAATAAAGAAGACTTCATACCACAAGAACTAAAGATAATAAGAAATCTGAAAAAATCTTAATGTGAGAATATTTTAAATATTCAAAGAGATAAAGGAAAGATTAGTAGCCATGAAACAAATACAGGAAAGAATGGAAAGGAAGAGGAAGAAAAGAAAAGGGGAAAAAATAGAAATTCTAGGCACAAAAATATTGTCATTGAGTCAATTAATAAGTTGAATCATAGACTAGACACTGCTGAAAAAGAAACTTAATGTCAGAGCTGAGGAGATGCCTGAGAGTAAAACAGGAGTATAACTACTTGTCAACTATAAAAAAGTACTTAGGAGACACTTATAATGATGAGGGCAACATATCCTAAAAAGAGACCCAGAGAGAAAATGGAGGGAAAGAAGCAGAGGCGATATTTTGACAGATAATAATGAAAAATTTTACAGAGATGAGACAAGTCTAAAGATTGAAGAAGTACATTCAGGCCTGAACAAGGATTTAAAAATTTCCTCACCTATTTTTTTTTATTTAATCATTCAACAAATATGAATTGATTACTTATTGTGTACCAGGTACAATTTAGGCACCGAGGTTATATAATTGTATAGAACAGGCAAGAAACTTAATTTCTATGGGGAAAACACATAGTAAACAATAAACATAATAAATTAGTAAATTCTCTAAATTGTCAGAGGTGTGATAAGTTCTATGAGAAAAGTAAAACTAGAAGAGGGTAAGAGGGTTAGGAATGCCAGATTGGGGAATAGATTACAGTATTAAGTAAGGTGGCCAGTATTAATTTAGATGACCTTATTAAAGAGATGAGATTTGATCAAAAACTTGGCATTTAATGTAAAAAATCAGAGCACAGAAGACAAAAGTAAAAAATTTTTAAAAGTGAACAAATGTTACACATAAGGAACAACAATTTTGGTGGCAGCAGATTAAATGAAGCAAGACCTTGTATTTATTGAGCACCTGCTACAAGCCAAACACTGTTTTATGGTTTACATGCTAATCTTTACATTGACTCAAGATGGTTGCTCAGTTTATTCCCAATTTACAGGTAAGGAAACTGAAGCTCAAAGCAGTTAAATGACTGCCCAAGACCACACAGTAAGCTAGCTGTAGAATCAGGAATCAAATTTGACATGTTCATACCAAATTCTCTGAACAAAGTTATTATCTTGGTCACCAGTAATCTTTTGCCAACTCTACTTCACACTTTTTACTTACCTTTTTGACCTTTGTTGTGTGTGATTCACCACTCTTTTACTGTAAGGGGTCAGATAGTAAGTATTTTAGGTTTTGTGAGCTACATATCTCTGTAACAGTCACTTAGACTGGTCCATTGTAATGCAAAAGCAGTCATAACTATACTTATACAAAAGAGTTTGGCTGTGTTCCAGTGAAGTTTTATGTATGGAAATTGAAATTTTAATTTCATGTAAGTTTCATGTGATTTATTCCAACTATTTAAAAAAGGAAAATCCTTTTTTTTTTTTTTTTTTTTTTGTGGGACCCTCTCTGGCAGCCGGGAATGAACCGGCGCTGCAGAGGTTGCAGGCAGCCTCGCAGCCCAGCGCTCAACCGCTGCACCACCAGGGAAGGCCCCTGTAAAATCCATTCTTAACTGAACATTTTATCCAAACAGGCAGAGTACATTTGACCTGCCAGCTATAGTTTGCTGATTCATCAGTAAAATATCTCCCTATTCTTGACATTCTCTTCCCCCTTAGCTTCTAACATTTCTAGAATACTATTCTGTGAGCTTCACATTAATTACCTCCTTTATGAGATCAATATTATTATCTCAATTTTATTAATAAGGAACTGAGACACAGAGAAATTAAGCAGTTTTTTTTAAAGATTTGTTTTATTTGTTTATGCATATAAGAGCTGGGGTATAGGTCAGAGGTGCAGGGTGAGGGTAAGAGGATTCACCAGGGACAAAGTGGGGAGCAGAACAGGCAGATCTACTGAAATACACTGCTGAGGGGAGGAGCGGGTGAAACAGAAGAGGTCTGCTGTGCCATGTGGGTTAGCTCCCTGGCCAGGGATCGAACTTGTGCTGTAGCGGCTGCTGTAGAGGTGTCTGCCGATAGCTTCATTGTGCCGAGACATAACCCCTTGCACCATCAGGGAGGCCCCAATTAAGCCTTTTTTTTTTTTTAAGATCTAAAGACAGAATTCAAATACAGCCATTTCACTCCAGGAAAGACAGGTGAGGCTCTGCTGAAATATCACATCAAAACTTGAGTACTTTCCTTCCAGAGGTCATTATACATGCAATTTTCAAAGGGATCATGGATAAGAAGGAAAAGTGCATGAGGAAGATAGACCTACCTTAATTGTACATTATTTCCTCTCACATTCTTTTGCATCCCCAGTCATTGGGTCAACCTCAAGGCAAGGAGACTTGGTGTGCAGGAAGAAGAGATCTGCTTGGCTAGCACCAAGATGGCCTCAGCCACAAAGCTCTTACCCCCCTACTTCTTGGTTCCCTCCTTATTGGTTTCCATGCATCAGTCCTCGGTCCACTGATTCCATGCAGATGCTCCCCAGCATCCTGACCACAGCTCTTCACTTCTTGCTGCATATGTTCTCTATTAAGAAGCTCAGTCAGGATTTCTGCTTCACTCAAGCTGCCTGCTTGCTAAACAACATTGACTGGATTTCCCATGTGCATCTCAAACTCACCACATTCAAAAGTTACATCTTCCTCCACAAAATCTGTTCATCCTTCTGTTTTCCCTATTTCTATGATTGATACCACAGTATTCCCTGCTGTCTAAGCCAGAAACCAGGCATCTTCCTAGTCTCCTTTTCTCTACCTCCCAGTATCCATTTGATCAAGACTCTGGTCCGTTCTCCTGTTGCTTCTTCTCGCTCCAGTGCCATCCCCAGTCTTTCTCCCTGGGACTACTGTGATGGGCACAGTCTCCCTGCCCAATGTGAGTGTCCCTGACCCAGGCTCCTCAATTATCCAAAGCATCTTTCTCAAAAGCAAAACTAATCATGGTGTTCCACTGCTTAAGACCTTTCTTGACTCTTATTGATGTCAGAATTAAATCAAGCCTCTCATCATAATACATGGAAACTTTCAAACTAGATCTGATAGCCAACATCTTTCCCCATACTGATCCCTTGCCCATCACCAAACACATTGAATGCTCCAGTCACACCAAGTAATTCAGAGTTCCACAGAGTGGGTTGTGCTTTTGCATGGTCCCTTTCCTCTATATAGAAGCTTCCTCGACACAATCACACCTGTCCCAGATAATCTCTACTCATTCTCCATCATGACTAGGCTTCTCCTCAAAAGTCCTGTCTCTGTTTAACTTATTTCACTTTGCATAATGTCCTCAAGGTCTGTTCAAGCTGTTGCAAATGGCAAGTTTTCCTTCATTTTTATGGCTGAATAATATTCTTCTGTGTGTGTGGATGTGTACATATATTTTATTTTTATTTCTTAATAATGAAAAAATTATATTTAAAATTATACAGCTGGACTCAATTGAGATGACCCAAATTTTGTTGATAATATCCACAACATAGTTAGGAGCCAGCTGAATATATGCTTTCTTCTCTGTATCAGATCTGTGTTAATCTGGCCATGTCAATGTCATAGAGCTTCTTCAAAGCCTGTTAGATCTAGTGTTTGTTGGCCTTGACATACACAATGAACGCTTTTCCTCCAAACCTTACTCCATTGACTACTATTTATCTTTCTCAAGGTTCTAATTCTCAAAGAATCTCCTCTTTTCTGTCTCTACCAGCCTATCATCCTCACTCTACAGAAAGGAACTGTTAATAGTACTGCACATCATAGAAAGGCCAAGTGGGATACTGTCTTTCCTCTCCCATTTCATTAAACAGCCAATTGGTAAAATAAAAGTCAATTCCTCAACTTCTACATCCTTACCTATACACACTATGCCTTATAAACCAGATTATGCTTATCATGTCCCATAAGAAATCATTAAAAGTCATCTTGTTACTGCTAAGTCAGGAGGACATTTCTTAGTTCCAATGATGTC